TTCCAAGTCTATACATGAGCCTCTCTCTGCGTCAGAAGGCAGCAAGATAGAAATATCTGATTAGTAGCATCCTTGATTAACCATAGAGGCCCTGTTCAGAAGAGTGAAAATCAGGTGTTTTTAAAAAGTGTTTGTCTTGAAAGGTCAAGGATAGCTAACCCTGACTGAACCATGATCTTTCCACAGTGCAAATGTTAACTTGAAGTAGTCATGGAAATGGTTATAGAATTTGTCTTCCAGTAAATGTCCCCTTCCCCCACAATTTTTAGTAAACAAAAGGTTCAGAGATTTCACATACATTTGGATGAAGTTGTGAAAAAGAAGAGTCACTTAAATTCATAGTAAAACAAAAGGAAAAACTATGTAGCACTTTAAAGACTAGCAGGATGGTTTAATAGGTGATTCAAGTGCCACATAGTTTTTCCTTTTGTTTTAGCAAGATCAGACGAACACGGCTACCTCTTTATTACTATTTAAATTCATAGTGTCTAACTATTTTTAAAAAACACCTTTCCCCCTCATTTGTAGCCATGTGGAAGCGAACTGAGAGAGAACCCTAGATTCATTATCAAATGAGGACGTCTTCTTGAAGCCAACTCTGGAGGCTGCATCTGTTGGCTGGCTTGCCAGAGTCTGTGTTTATTGAACAGGAGTGTGTGGGTGAGGTTCTATGGCCTGTAATGTACAGAAGGTCAGACTCAGTGCTCACAGTTGTCCCTTCTAATTGGAAAAGATGAGTCTACAGTTTAATGAATGGACTTTAACTGATGAAACTTTCAGTGTAGTTGGAAATCTCTCAGTCCTTCCCAATTCTACTGAATTTAGCAGCAATAAAATGGGGCAGTTCCACTACATTTAATCAGAACTCTTGGGTGATAAATGTGTTGGAAGAACTCACCAAAACTTGCTGCAGAACCAGTTTCAGCTTTGATTTCACAAAGATAATGCAGAATAATCAGACTGAGAATTACTGAGAGATTATCCTTGTGGATGACACATACCCCCCCTTCGTGTTTGTATGGGGCACAACACATAAAGTAAGTAAAATGATGGACTGGGAGCCATTTTGTTATGGCTATTTAGTTGATAGGAAAGAGAGTTTACTCAGGTAAAACTAATTGTGTTACCAATTTGTCAATATACTCCAGAGAGCATTACCTCATACTTTTAGAGCCACAAGTTATCCAGCAATATTCAGAAACGGTTGCAAACAGTCTCTTACACTATCCCCATATGTGTAATTTTCCATTCTTGAGTTGACTAATTGAGACGCTAGCAAAAAACCATGCCCATCTGACTTCCAGTATCTTGTATCCTTCCTAACCTGCTTTAGAGTAGGGATTTAAGATGAGAAACAGCAGTAGTGCTTTGGAGGACCACCTTCCAGACACGAGCAATTGTGTATTCATCCTCATCCTTGATGGAGATGCTGCAGGTTCCCATCTGTGACCTAGCAGATGAAGTATTGGGCAGATGCTCGGATTGTTCTTTTTCTTCCTCATAAACTTGTGTCCAAAGGACTTTGGAAGTGCTGTTGCCTATTGCCCTCAGATATCATCTGTATTTCACAGGCTTTTATTTTTTCCCTCATTCTGTTCACACCTACTTAAACTCCAGAAGGGATTAAATGCCAACAATATGCTGACAACATCTAGCTGTCTGTGAACTTGCCATTCCTCAGCTGCTGACTCTTGGATCACAAGATGGAAGTGATGATAGTGGGAGAAGGGAAATATTTAGGCCAGGTCACTATAAAAAAGTTAGGTCAGCCCAGCTTTGTTGCTCAGGGGTTTGATATAGAGCAGGGGTGGCCAACCCACAGTTCTAGAGCCGCATGCAACTCTTTGTTTAAAGAAATGTGGCTCTTGCTAAGATCTGAGCTGTGCCCCAGTGCCTGTTCCCAGCTGGCTGCTCTGTGCACGCGCACCAGTGCCTGGAGGGGGAAGTGTGTAGCTCTGGCTCTGGGACCCAGGCATTGGGTTAGTGTGGGTGCTGGGGGTGCCGGGTTCTGGGGGAGGGAGGGAGATTGGGTTAGAGCGGAGGGGGCAGGAGGTGCCTGGCTCTGGAGGAGTGGAGGAGGATTGGGTTA